TAATGCAACACCTTTACATCGATCCTAAAATAAATAATATAATTTTAATTCTTTAAAAGTAATAACTTCAAAATAGAAGTAATAATATCATAATTGTTTTGTTTATAGCTCAATAAGAAATGAATTTAATGAATTGAAATAATTATTTACATTTTTACTTACATATTTGTATTACTAAAAAAAATCTAACCGGATTTCTTGCAGCTAATCGAAGAGCATTTTCCGATCCTCTACTATGACCTAAGAATACAATGTTATCACCAACATCCATTGAATTGATAATTTTTTGTACAAATTGCATACGCTCTTCATTAGTATAATTTAATTCTTCATAATCTGTAAGTGGAATTTTGATCAGATAAAGAAATAAATTTTATTCTTTTATTTTTGTTGTGCTTTTAAGTTCTTATTTTACATTCAAACGTTTAAAAAATTAGAAATGAAAATGAAAGAAACAAAAAATTTTAAATTAACAGAAAGAAGTCCTGTACATTCCTTTGTAATTAATGAATAAATTAAATCAATTAAATGATCATTAAATTTGACTATCAAATTTATGCAAAAGATAAGTATGTGAAAATTTTTTTTTTTTTAACTTTCAAATAGAAAGTAATCAATGTATTTGAAGAAAAAGCATAAAACATACGTGGAGTATAGCCTTGACCTGGAAAATTAATGCCTATAAAACGAATTCCACATTTATGCAAGTATGGTACGATGTATTTGAAATCATTATGTGAACCAGGTGCACCATGACAACCTATAACAGTTCCAATGCAAGGGCCACCTGGAAGACTATCCTGAAAATTTTCAGTACTTCTCATTAATTAACCAAATTATGATATAGAAATACTGATAAAAATCATTTCATTTTATCATCCTTACAATTTTATCAAAATCATTTTATCATTGTGTAGCAGATTGTATTGCAAAGACATTTGTATTCAGTAATCAAATATAATTAAGTAATTAATAAGTATTTTAAGAGAATCGAAAAAAAAAAATTAAGTTTGAATTAAAATATTGGGAAAAGAAGAAACCTGAACAACAGCATCCACATCAATTGATTGCCGATCGATAAAATCAATTCGAACACGTAGCTTTCGTAGTACTGATGGTACTTGTTCTAACATTATCGATGACTTTTGACCTCCCAATGATTTCATATTATTCATTGAATGATTGATAATATGACTTCCGTTTGATAGGAAGAATTTAATCAAACAATTGACAAACTAAAAAATAATCACTTTTAGAATGATATTTGAATGAAATGAAACAAGAATTATTTATTTGATGAATTGCCCATAAAAAAAAAAAAAAGAAATACTGACCAAACTACAGACAAAAAAAAAATTGACCTTATCCTACAGTAGAAAAATTTGAACAGTAATTAACCTTCATAAGATGAACTATTTCCTTTTATCATATTTGATTGTTTCTACTATTATACACTTTCATCTTCATCATCCTCAAATATCTTCTTTAAATGGCAATAGATTATCTTATCACAGGTGATAAGGGAAAGTTATCAATTCATCCTTTTTTATTAATTAAGCAAAGTATTAGAAATAAAAGTTAACGAATCAATAATATTGTAATAAAATGAAGATGAGAGAAGAAACAAGGTACAAAACTAATTAATTAGTTAATTAATTAATTGAAAAGGTAAAATAAATCAAATATTTTTTCAGATATGAATGAATAAATAGATGTATCGAAGTGGAAAGGACAAAAAAAAATTGGTTATTACACCGATTCTTTCTTAAGCAAACTCTTTTCTCTCTCACTCATCAACTATTTACAATTTTTTTTTTTCTTTTAAGATAACATAAGTTTCTATCAAATTTAAAAAATAGTCTCATTTATCATCCTGTTTTTTTCTTTTTTTCTTTTCTATTCTTTACACTAAATATCCTTAAAATGAAAAATTAAACAATTAATTAACTTATTAGAATAATAATAGCTTAATTTACAACTATGAAAAGTGTAAATCTTTTAATTAAATAATAAATATTTATCAAATTTATATATAATCTAGAAGAAAATGCATATTTCTAAGGCAAAAAAAAAAAGAAGCAAGAAAGAAACTACCATCGTCATAATACAAATTAATTAAAATGATACTTGAATAATTAAAGATACGTTATTGACATACCGACATTGAAATAATAAATGATAACAATGAATTAAATGATAACATTTAACAAATATTAAATAATAACAATAATATTATTATTATTGTTATTATTATTACTATGGTAAAATTATTATGGTAAAATGATGAAATAAGCACGAATAATATAGGCAATGAATGATGGATAGTAATTGCAAGCAGATAATTGATGATATCAAATTATTAAATGATAGTAAAACTATTAAATGATAATAAAACTATTAAATGATGATAAGAATAAATGAATGATAATGATAAATAAAGTGATAATATAGAAGTGATAATTTGTCCAGATTTAATTCACCAACGAATGAGCAGCTAATCAGGAGAGATCAGGTTTGAAATCAATGGAATGTTTATTTACAAATGGAAAAAAAAAGAAAGAAGAAGGATAAGAGATGGAAATTATTTAAACTAAGAATCTTTCACTATCCCATTCTTATTCCTCTTAAATTGATATCTATTTGTGATGTATTCATCCGAATAATAGCAAAACAATGCAATCAATAAAACTTGTAGATAAGTATCATTTGACATCTCGAAATTATCAATGAGAGTTGTTTACTTATGAAATGTCAACAATTGATTGATATGAATAATGCCAAGTTAAATGCTAATGAGAGAATTTGAAGTGAAACCTGAAATAAAGTTTAATTAACTATAAATTCCATTTATTACAACAATGAATAATTGTATTATAATCTGTTATAATTTTTGTGTAGAATTTCGAAAATTTTCGCTATTAAAGTTTATTTTGCTAATAATTTGTTAATTGTAAAAATTTAAACGAATTAAAATTAATTACTTTGGTGATTAATTTAAGGTAAGGTATAATTAACCTTTGATAACATTTTCATCTATAATATTACCCGATTGGAGTGGGAAATTCATTCTATATTATTAAAATATAAAATTAATGCTACTTATAAACAAGCAAATGAAAATATTTTTTTGGACAATAAAATGGTTAATGATGGTCTTAGAATAATAATGACCAATAAAATTATTAATATTAGAGATGAATTTTTATAAGCAATTCACTCTTACATTTTTATTTTCTAATAAACAAAAGAAAATTTAAATATATCTTATTTTATTCAATTATAATTGTTATTTTTGAATTGAATATATGGAAAAGTAATGAGAGAAGGAAGAAGAGAAGTGCAATATTTGAAGTGCATACATGAGGACAGTATGTGACAAATAGAAATGGTGTGACATTCAATTACTCTATCCGCTAGTTTTACTAAGTGATCAAGTAAAATTGTTCTTTGAAGAGAAAAAAAAACGAAGGTAAAACATTAGTTGGAATGATTTTAAAAATTTTTGTTTTTTTTTTTGCCCTAAAATTTCGTCATAAAGGAAATAGTTTTGAGTTATTTTAATGTTATTCTATTTGAAAAAAGAAAGAATTCTCACAAAGTTGACATTTTTAGAAAAGTGATCGTAAGGAAATGAATGAACTCTTTTGAACAATTTGTGAAACGAAAAAAGAAACTTCAATAAAATTTGCTTTTTTTTTCTCATTCAGTTTTAAAGTATGTGCGTCTTTTTTCAAATCTCACTGCCTCGAATAATTAGGCCATTAATCAATTAATTAATTCATGGTTGGTTACTTGGCCAATTAGTCAATAGGCCATTGTTAATAACCATTTGCCAGAAGAGAGTATCGAATTTTTGATCGGTTAATGTTTTTATTTTATAGCAATATGTCGCAATACACTTTCCATTTCGTTTCAAAAGCACATTCTCTTTTCTTTCTTTTTCCGGTTAATTACTCAGATTTAAAAATTGAATAATATTAAATGGTAAAACAAAATCAGATAATAATAATAAGAATAATAATAATAATAATAAT